GGAATAGCAGGAGGTGGCTCAGCCCAACATTTGTCTCCCCAGACCTCCCCTTCTGTGCCATCGTCCTCATCTGCTTGGCAGGACTCCTGGTGCTCATCACATGCCTGAACTGCTGTCTCCTAGTAAGCAGGGAAGTGTCGCTTGTCTTCTTACTATTGGGTTGTAAGAGTCCTTTGGATATTATAAACATATGTGCTTTGCTAAGGATCTGTTGTGCAGATAGTGTCTCCCATTGGCCAGCTGGTGTTCATAGCTCCTTTAGAGCTTGAACCAGTTGTGAAATTGTCATCTGCCCAACTCTGAGTGACTGACTCCCCTGTCCCACATGTTTCCATCAACCCAAAGGATCATGTTCAAAAATAAATAATTCAGAAACGTATTAACCCACACAAATCCCTGATGGCCGGATTTTGGTCAAACACTCATACAACAGATACCCATTCCTCAAGATCGGAAGTGATGCTACATCACCGTGTTCTCAGCTTAATTTCTCTTCTCCTATCCTGCCATTCCTTCAATCTGTGGTCTGTGATCTCAGTAATTCCCTTGGAGCTGTCCAAAATTTCTTACTGCTCATCATATGTGTCTTGTAAAATTTCAACCCCAGAAGATCCTGATTATCAGCCAGGCCTTAGCTGCTGCCAATCTTATGATCTTATGACAAAACAGGATTTTTTTGGTACCAGTGTAAATGCAAAATCAGCTGCATCAACTGGGAAGCATCCCTAATGCCTGGAAATTCTAATTTCTTTTATGGATTGGCATATTTACGCCTTGATTTTCCACAAAGCCTGTTTTCAATGTTCCCCACATTTCTTTTTCCTTCATACATATTCAGGGTCCCTTAACTTGCCTGATATTTCACAGAGAAATTGCTGTCTCTTCTCCTTCCCTTTTGACATGAAACAGTGAGAAAAGGTCATCTACCTTATGTGTTTCTGTGGCCTCACATCCAAACACCTCCTGAGAAAACCCCATGCTCCATCTGCCCTCACCATTCTATGGGTTGTTCCCTTGTAAGGCCACACTGACTCCTTTCTTACTAGACCAATAGGGGCTTTTCATCATTCATCTGACATGCTCATTCAGTGGGACACTTTGATAAGCTTGGAGCTCCTTAGATACGTGAATCTTATGTTACCTCTGTGAGCATTATAGTATCTCAACACAGATACTGCAGATGAGGAAATATACAACTGACAAATGAAGACTGTGCTCTGAATGGATTAGTAGATCCCGATTAAAACGAAAAAGAAAGTGAACTATTTCATTGTTAATTTTTATATAGATTGCATGGACAAATGGTAATAGCTTGGTTATAATGGGTTTAAATATACTATTAAAATTAGTTTCACCTGCTTATTTTTACTTTTTTAAATGTGGCTACTAAAAAAAATTAAATTCCATAAGACAGATTGAGAAATTCTACTGTTGTACAGCACTGTTCAAGCCATGAGAATAAAGCCCAGAGAACGTGGTTATGGACAATTTTTCCAAGGAAAGGAGTCGCTCTGAATGCACAGCAAGATGCAGAAAACAGTCTCATACACACACACACACACACACACACACACATAGAAAACAAGACCAACATCATCATAGAGTTGTTCTACTCTTCTCAAGTGGCAAGAGGTTGCAGTCCTACATTGTCCTAAGTGGACGAACCTCAGGAAAGCAGCCAGGAGTCAAGAGAGTTTACCAAATCAGGAAGATCTAACACCAGAGAGTAAAGATCAGGATCTTTCAAGAGGTTCCCAGCGGTGGATTCTGTTAGTGATTCAATACATTAGGGAGAACTTTGTAAGAAGCGTTGTTACAGAACTCACCTTTCCTTTCCTATGTAAAAATATACAAGTTTTGTAAAGAATAATAGCTCCTGCCAATCAATGAAAAGATGCTAGAACACGAATATCACTCTTGTAAATCACTCCTGGATTAGTGAGCCAGTCAGGGAACAGATGAACGTGGATTGAGCTGGACCTCATTAGGCTGATTCTGACTTGAAGACCATCCTATGGATCGTCTTGTGCCAGGACCTCTGAAACATGCTGCCCCCGCCACTCTTTCGCCACCAAGGTCCACCAACCAGACAAGTCCTTGCTGAAAAATGCCCTGGCTGGGCCCCTTCTGACCACACCTGGAGGACTCTCCCCAAATCCCACTCCTTCACGGTGCTCCTCCACCTGCCACCGGCCAGGGAGACATTCCCTCCAAGGCTCACACTGTGTGTGCCCAGCTCTGGGGATGGCACTTCTCCCTCAAGTGAAGAAAAGGATCAGAGTGAAGAGCCTGTGGGCTGCAGCCATTAGGACAAGGCCTGGGGTTTGCTGCCAGACAGAAGAGAACCTGTAGTGGGTGTGGGTCCCAGGGTTCAAGAAGCCCCCGTGATTCCTGGATAGAATCCCAGAAGATGATGCAGGACAGAGGAGGGATGCTTGGGTGTGATTGTGCTTGGGAATGTCCATAGGGAGGTGGATGTGCCATTGGTAATGCCTTCAACAGTGTTGTTCATTCATCGATACGTGCTGTCTCAGGGAGTGCTGTCTAGCTCCTTCCAGCCCCTAGTCTCCCGTCTGGAGCAAACAGATAGCGTCAGAAGAACATTTGCATTTCATTCATAATGTATGTGTACAGGGCATGCAATGTGCTGGATGTTGCAAGCGTTTTGAATCATTAACTCCTTTAATACTCTCCGTATTCTCACAAATTAGGTACGCTTATCATTCTTGCCTACAACAGATGAAGAAAGTGAGGCACCGATGAGGTGAATAACTTGCCCTCTACCAATATCAAGGAAGTGATTGAGCTGGAATTTGAACATAAGTTGTGGCTCCATATTCTCTGCTCTTAACCATGTTCTTTGCTCCCTATGACTTCACACCATGAAGACGTTGGCTCAGTGTATCCATTTTCTTGTTATACCCAGTAGCCCCACTCTTTGATCTCTGTCTGAAAAAGATGCTATTTGCATCAAAACTGTTGCACATACACAACCAAAATGACTTCTCCCCATATCCCATGTCCTGGAAAATACATGGAGAACATTTCAAAACATTTCTTGCCGAGGCTGGGAGTGCTTCTGGGAAATCCCACTGTTCCTCTAAGAAGCCAAGGGCAGGCTGGGAGCTGTGTCTTAGGGGAAAGGTGAGCTCAGGAGTTCCCATGGGATTACAAAGCGGATGGGAGGCCTCAGCAGGAACTGACTTCAGGATCTGGTGGTGTTTCAAGATGGGTGCTAATTTTCTGGCTTTGGGTGTAGGGGCTGGTGCCGCATTCCAGGGAGAGGCCAGTCTCCCTGTGTTCTTGGGGAAACCAGACCCTTGAAAGCAAGGGAATGAGAATTTCCTTTCACAATGGACTTGGGAGGGGAAACATTCAGCCCAGAAGAGACAGTCATGATCCTGAGGAAACCAGAAGAAGCTGCCTCCTCGTCCGCCAAGCAGAAAGCCCTCCTTCATGGACTCACTTTATCCAGATGAGACCAAGAAGGAGGACATCATGAGATGCCCTTGCAGGTGGGAGACCTGTGACAGTGGAGCCTGTGCCTGGGAGGCTCTGAAAGGCCTCACAGAGGTGACATTTGCTGTGAGCAGAGTGACAGATGAGAGGCACGCCGGCCTGTGTCTGGGAACAGTTTGAGAGTCAGGGAGAAGGCTCCTCTGGTGCAGAGACTCACAGGAAGAAGTGAGTGTGACCAGAGAAGGGCGGAGGGTGGGGGTGTGGCGAGAAGGAGCCTGAGAAGGGAGTGGAGGGGCAGATGGGGGCACGGCAGGGCCATGTGGTGGGAACTGGAAAGCTGTGCTTTTTGCCATCGCTCTCTGACGACATTGCTCCAAGAGGTTGCACCCAAAAAGTACAAATCCTTAACATCTCACAAATTCTGTGTGCCAGGAAGAGGGCACGGCTCGGCTGGGTGCTTCTGCCTCAAGGTCTCTCTGAAGCAGGGCCTGTGTCTCTATTGGGGCTCGACTTGGGGAGGGTTTGGTCCCAAGTTCAGTCACATGCGTGTTGATGGGTTTTGTTTGGACTGAAAATCTGAGTTCCTGCGTGTCTGTTGGCCGATCATTCCCTCCATTCTCTCCTATGGAGCCTCTTCATAGGGCAACTGAAAGCATGCACACTTGCTCCCCCAGTTCCAGAGAATTAAGAGGCAGAGAGACAGAAAGATGGAAACAGGAGGAGGGAAAGAGGGAGGGGGCTGGAGAAAATGAGTAAGAAGGAAGGGCCAGGCTTTTTATTCTTAACCCTGGGTTGCGTGCCATCCCATCACCTTGGCTGCATTCTGTTCAGAAGCCAGTTCCTGACCACTGTGTGTTCCACAAGGACACGCACAGCAGAAGACAGTGAGCACCAGGAGCCATGGTGGAGGCTGCCCACCACATAGGCCGACAGGAGGCACTTGGGTCTGATTCTGTCAAACAGGAGACCGTGCAAGGTTTCATGCCAGTGAATGGAAGTATCTGAATTTCCCCTAATTTCCACCTCTTAAAGGTGCAGACCTGGGAATGAGGCCCAGAGGGGCAGTGACTTTCTCAAGGTCACACAGCTGGAACCCAGTCCTGTTTTGAGGGGTACTCCACACTACATCCCACCCCTTCTTGTCATTCTTTCATCTCTAAGTGTGTGCATCAGACACATGCAAACCAGACCACAGGTGTTGTCGCTATTGTCTCTTCTACACCTGAGGACGTCCTGAGGGAGCTATTTCTGGCCTCGCCCCCATCGTGCAGGTTGGGTGATTGAGGAGGCCCTGGGAGGCCCATTGGCATTTCCAGGACACAGAGCTTGTAGGAAAAAAGAGGTCGGAACTCAGCTGCATGTCCTCAAGCTGGAACCTTGGTTCCATCTCAAGGTCCTGTGCTGGCTATTTGTGTACAGTTCTGGAGGTGACATGGGCAAGGAGGGTGAGCAGCCAAGATCCCAGAGAGGTTTTCGGTGGGTGTGATTGAAGGAAGGGGCCCAGGTAAGGGAAACTTGAGGAAGTGACCACACTTCCTTAGAGACAGAACCCAACAGAACTTAGCACACTGGTCTCCAGGCACCCACATTCTAGACATAGCATCCTATTGAGCCCACTTGAGTGGCGACACTGAAGACAAGAGGATGTTCTCCTGCTGTCTCCCGAGTTGTGGAGGCTCTGGCTTCAGGAAAGCCAAGAAAAAGAGACTTTTCAGTCACTATAGACACTGCCTTCGCCCTCACCGGCACCGCCTCTGTCCAATTGGTAGGAGGAGCACTCAGGTAACACAGGGAAAGCCAACCGGGTTAGGCCACAACTGGATGCCACCCGCACAACAATTTGAGCCTCCTTGTGTGTCGGAGGGGTGTGAGAGAGGGACGGCAGTGCTGAGCGGGGACCCACCCTGGGCAGGAGCCATTTGCTCGGTGTTGGAAGCCTGGCAGTGTGTCGTATTCCCAGCCTAGGTGTTGGCTAGCAGGATGGGAGAGTGGGTGCTGGGGACCAAGCTCCTCTACCCATAGGTTAGTCCCGAGTCCTCCAGGTGTCATCTCATTCCCTCCCTGGCTAGAGGTCTAGGCAGATGCTGCTCGGTACCTGATCTCTGCTGGGGTTTCCTCCTGTGGCCAAGTCGAGACAGGTGCATGAGACATCCCGGCCTGGCTCTCGGGCACTGTCTTTGCAGAGCTGCACGCAGGAGGTGGTCGAAGAGCTGGCGGATGGCTTCGGGTACTCCATCTCCCTGGACAGGGACCAGCTGCACCGCGCCATCATCAATAACCAGGGCTGCTCTGAGGTGAGAGTGGGCACGGAGGGGTCTTCCCACCCAGGCCCCTGAGATGACCAGGGCAGGCCCAGAATCCAACCTCAAACTGCCGTTCTCCTGGGACCCTAACAGGGCTGTCCCCCATGAGTGTCCCACAGTCCCATTCCCAAAGGAATCTGGACTTCCGCTCCTCCCCACCAGCTGCATAGGAGGGTAGGAGGGCACTCTCTGCATTTTCCTAGGAAGATTAGAGAAAACGTTGATGTCGTTGTCACTTCCCAATAGGCCCTGAGTATCTTTGAATTTTGCCTTTTTTGGAAAATGAAACCTCGATAACGAGGGTCTCCAAACTCCCTTTAATGTAAAAGAAATAACCATCAGCGTGTTTGGAAGTCAAAGGGATTCTCATAACGTGTCACTGCCCTGTACACTGTTTCCAGACCTGGGAGGGGTGAGGTGGCCACATAACATTTCCCTCCAGGTCAGGGTCTGATGAAGCCTCAGGCAGTTAGAGGGGATGTCCCTCAGCCCTCACTTTGGGCGGTTCTCAGCTCTGACCCACAGGGCCTAGAGAAGCCACTTGGCATGCCAAAGCCTCTGTTCTCCTCTCTAGAGAGGGGTGTCTGTTGAGGATTCACTGGGCTGGTGCTCTGCACAGAGGGAGCTCTGTTGTCCCTCGGCGAGCAAATGGCCTCGAGGGAGATCAATGTGGAATCCTTCGCAGGACCAAAGTCAGATTGTACTGTGAGAGCCCAGAACCTTGCTGAGTTGGGACCACTGTCTCTCCTGTCGCACACGTCTGGGAGGGGCTAGGAGTTCCTGGGTCAGCTGCAGACCTCGATAACGCTGGTGGTTCGCAGTGGTGGCCCTGACTCTGTGTCCCTCCTCGTCCCACCCAGAGTGAAGATGAGTCCACTCTGTCTGTCACTGAGGCCTGCAGGATGCGTGCCCTCCAGGCAGGCATGATGCAGAGGCTCTCAGAGTCTGTGCTGCCAGCCTTCCCCAGCAGAGTCCTCTGCAGTGTCATCACCTCCCTCTGCAGCTACTCAGGCTCCAGCACAGCCCACCAGGTGCTGGACCAGCTGTTTCCCAGGTGACTGCCCACCTCCTCCTCAGCACAGTGGTGACTCTGCCCACTGCCAGCTGTGTGTCTTGCCTTGGGAATGTCACCACATCTCTCTGAGCCTGAGTTGGCTCCTCTGAAACGTGGGGTGGGAGAGGATGAACTTGCCAGGCTTCTCCCAGGGATGAATGGGCTCAGCCCTCCAGGTGCTGCCCTGGTGCCCGGCTCTGCAGAGAGGGTGGTGGGCCATGCTGTGGTTGCTGGTGGTGATTATTTCTCTGTCCCCCACGGAAAGTAGTCTTCCTCTCCCTTCACTGGCTTGTGGCTTTTTGAGTTTGGAAAAGCACCTGGAGAGCACCCTGTCAAGGAGTTTGAGATGCCATCCAGCTGGTCCTGGTGCTTGTCCTTGGTGTAGCCACTTAGGCATCTCTAGGGCCACACAGGGGCCACAGGCCCACTCAGACACCTGGGGTGGTTCTGGTTGGAGGTCATTCAACAATGTCTATGAAGGACCTACTCTGAGCAGGACTTCTGGACACACTAAGTGTCACTCAGTGAATGAAGCAGACAGCCTCCCTGGGCCTCCCCTCTATTCTGAGAGTCACACAGTCACACTTGACATCATTCACAGGTCCCATCTACCCTCCATCCCGGGCGATGCCCTCATCCCCTTTGGGACACATGGAGGCAGCTTGGCCCATTGCGTGCGGGATGCTGGAGGACAAGACCACCTCCCAAAGTGAGTGGTCTTTGGGTCGAGAAGGAGGGCCTCCTGTCTCTAGCAAACAGGGTGCGGGGAGAGGATGGAGGCTGTGGCTGGGTCAGGCCTGGGAGAACCCTGCATCTCACCCATCTTGTGATTCCCATGGGAGGGCTGAGTTCTGGTGGCTTCCACTCCGGCAGGACTGGACTCAAAGAGAGCTGTGCATGGGTCCCAGGCCCCTTGAGAATTGGAAGGGAGGCTGGGCTGCGTTGTCCCCTAGAGACCCATTCCCAGCAGAGTCCCAGCCCCTCCTGCCTCCCTTTCTCCACATCCACACCTTGTGAGCGCCACCGCCAGGTCCATAGTAGGAGGTCTGTGAGCAAGCTGCTCCGAAATCTGCTGGAGTCTTCATTCCAGTGGCCCACATTCATGCAGGGCTTGGGTGGGCTGTGTCCAGACCCTTGGGGAGGAGAGTGTCGGTGGGAACAAGAGACTCTCACAGACTCTGTGTTCAGCCTGCTGGATGAGCAGGCCTGCCACAGCCAGGACAGCCAGCCAGGGCTCAGGGATGGGATGGGGCCCTCCTCTGGAGGGGGAGGGTCTGGCACAGAGGCGCAGATGCTATCAAGAGTGCCTTGGGAGGCCGGTGTTTAAGGAAAGGCCAGGCCACTGACTCTCTGGCCCATCTGCCTCCACGCAGTGCTATCTATTTCCTGCTGGGAACCTGGCTGGGCCAAGGGCAGGATTGCAGGGAGCCCCTGCGGTTTCCCTCTTGGACCCTGCAGCTGGCCACTCTGAACATCAGCTTTGGTGGCTCCCACGTGGAGGGCCATGCCTACCTTCTGCCAGGCCACCTGGAGCATCTCAAGGCCATTGAGGCCGAAAGGAAAGGTGAGGGGACTGGAGTCTGGGAAGACTGTGTTGAGGTTCATGGGCTAGCGTTCCCTTAGAGGCAGTGGAGTCCTTCCTATCTTTGGAAAGGCACAGAAACTGTCAGGTGTGTGGGTGAAACTTTCTCTTTATCCTGCTCCAGAGCCAGCTCCAAAGCTCCTGCCACTGCCAGAGCCAGAGCCAGTGCCATCCCCCGGGCTGGAGCCAGCTGCACCTCCAGTCTCACCACGTGTGGTAGAGCTGGAGCCAGCATCTGAGTCGGCCACTCCAGGACCAGAGCAAGGGCCACCAGTAAAGGCAGCCCCAGAGCCCAGCTTCCCCTGGGCCGTGACCACCGAGGACCAGCTGAGGGAGGAGAGGCTGAACATCTTGGACTTCCCTCCCCAGCTGGTGGCAGAGCAGCTGACGAGGATGGCTGCGGTGAGCAGAGGAGCTCGCGGGGCGGGTGGCCCCTGCCTTCCCGGTCCCCTGAGCCACCCCACACCTGCCATTCCCTGCTCAGGATTCCGATGATCTGGGTCCAAATCCCTGCTCCCTCCCTTATCAACACTGTGACCTGGGCAGCTTTCTTTCTCCCCAAGCCTTCGCTGTCCCCTAGCGAACAGGGGACGGTAGAGACGGACACTCAGAGCACCTGCTGTACAGCGTGGCTGTGCCGATGAATGAGGTGGGAGAAAGTGGAAGGTGGTCAGAGTCTGGCCCTTTGGTGGGGGATGGGCACTCACTGAAGTGCTGCCAGGTCCTTGGGTGGATCCCCCATCTGCGCAGGTGGCCCGGACAGCCTCAGCACTTATCAGGAAGGTGATGTGTATTGACTCCAGTGGAGACAGTCAAACAAAGCTGGGGGTTGTCCCTGCCTCGGGGGGAATGTGCATGGGAATGGGGAGTGGGACATGAGGGGCACTGGGATGGGTGGATGATGGCCCTTCTGGTGGGCATGTGTGGGCTGCCTTCTGGAGCTTGGAGGAAGTGAGACGGGGCTGGGAGCAAATGTCCCCTCCCTTCCCCACAGTCCTGAGTCCGGGGTCATCCTGGACTGGGTGCATTCAGTGGACACAGACAAAACCCAGGGACTCCCACAAGCCTCAGGCCACATGCTCTGCTTCCTGAGCTCCAGTTCTGATCTCACCCTGCCTGGGCCTATGGGGGACTGTGGACGCCGAGCTGGGCTGCGGCAGGACCGGGTGACACTCCGAATCTTCTGCAGGAGCTGTTCAAGACGTTGGTGCCCGCCCACTGCCTCGGCTCCATCTGGTCCGAGCGCGACAACAGGGAACGAGAGTACCTGGCACCCACCGTCCGTGACACTGTGATGCACGACAACACCGTGGCCAATTGCATCCTCGTCACCTGCCTTGGGGACGCGAGCATGACAGCGCAGGACAGGGCCAGGGTGGTTGAGCTGTGGATCAGGGTGGCTGAGGTAAGCCTTGGCACGCCCCGTCTGGATGCGTGAGAATTGCCTCTTGTTTCTCAGCTCTCAGGATTGAAGTCTGGGGTCTTAGTCCCTGGACTGTCCCTTGACCCTCATGCCAGGGCCACGTTGACCTTGACTTGAGGTCCCAGTGGGGACAAGCTCACTTCCTCCCTTGTGCTGAGCTACAAATCCTTGTGCCTGGCAGTGTTACTCGTCCGGTGGCAGGTGTGCCCTCCCTGGCTTCCCTGGACATGTGTCTCCTCCAGGACAGGGGAAGTCCATGAGGGGACAGAAACCAGAGGCAGCAGAGCTTCGGCTTCCCCTCACGGCTCCATCTCTTCGCTTCCCCATGAGTGCCGAGGCCTCGGGAACTTCTGTTCCCTCCACACAATCCTTTCTGCCCTGCAGAGCCCTGCCATTGCCCGTCTCCAAGACACCTGGGGACAAGTTTCCAGGTGGGTAGTGGGTGGTCTGCTCTCCAGCCAAGCACCATGAGGGTGAGGTGGCCCAGGCAGCCTGATTTGGGCCGGCATGTCCCCCAAAGTCAGCTGAGACCACCTGGGAGACAGCGAACGCCGGGCACAGGGACTGACCTGGGTGCTGGGTCTCTGAGTCTCTCAGCGCCCTTAGGCCAGCAGTTCCGTCCCAGGGATTCATTTCCTTCCAGACCAGATCCTGGCTTGAGCCCAGGTGGAGATTCTCAGGTGTTTCCTTTGCAGCAACAGAAGCCTCTATGCAGCTGAAACCAACACTGTTCCAAAGAGATCTGTTTGGGACATCTGGGAATGGAGGCCCCAAGGGACAAGAGGAGAGGCCCCTCCGCAGTCCCATGGGGACCTTGGAGCTCAGAACACCCCAGCGAAATCCCTCATCCAGGCCCCAGGCAGTTTGGATCTGCTGGGTTCTCAAACAAATGGGACATGCCTTCAAGCATCCCACAGTTTTTCTTGCTTGCTTGCTTGCTTTCTTTCCCCACCCCGCAGGGAGAGTTCTCGAACCTGGAAGAAGTGGGTCAGGAGAGAGAAACGCGTGAGCAGGGAGCTGCTGGTGCAGGTAACCTGGAGGCTGGAGATCTGGAAGGAGGCCAGAAGGAGAGGGGAGGGGAACATTCCGAGGGGATCCTAGGAGGTGAGGCTATGGCAAGGCTCGGCCCAGGCTGGGGGTCAGAGAGCCCTGTGAGGGTGGGGCAGGCCGGGGCCACTAGGCCAGGTCCCCCAAGACACCCTGCCCTCCCCCTCCCTGTCTGTTCAGCTGAGGTCTGGACGCACCCCTGGAGTCCAGAGGTCGGGGCCTTGGTCAGATTTGGAGCCAGGGCTGGGGTGAAGGCAGCGGGGATTGGGCCTGTAGCTGGCACGGGGAGCAGCCTCTCCCAGTGGGTCCTTGAGCTAGTCGCTGCCCCTCTGGGGGCCTCCGTCTCCTCCTCTGGGAAGTGGAGGGAAATGATCAGCGGTGCAGGCCTCCCAGCGGGGTGCTACCATCCAAGGGAGGACAGGAACGGGAGGAGATTTGTGCCGGCTCCTCCTCGAGAGGTGAGGGCAGAGCAGTGATGACACGCAGATGACTCTGAGTCCTCAGGAGACTCCTGGAAGCAGGTGACGTTCTCCTCACACTTTTCAGATGAGGAAAGAGGGCCAGGGAGGCCTGGGCAGGCCCAAGGTCACACAGGACTGAGTCCTGGAGCTGGGACTGGTCTAGAATCAGAGCACCCTGGAGGTGGGAGCAGCAGAGGCAGCAGGGGACTGCAGCCGATGGCCAGGGTCTGAGATCAGGGGCCTTGGGGGACATGCGGAGGGGAGTATGGGCTCACTGACCCTGTCCTCGGCCCCGACAGGAGGCGACCTCCGTGTTAGAGACTGCAGAGAGGGCCCGCCAGGGAGCCCAGGAGAGGCAGCGGCAGCAGGTGAGGGTGACTGTGGGGGAGGGGCCCAGGAGTCAGAGGAGAGGGGGCTCCCCCTCCAGCTGGAGGCCTCCCTCAGGAGAGGGGCCTTCCTCCTCAGGTGAATCTGCTGTCGCTGCCAAGCATGACGGGTCTGCAGTGGCAGTGAGCAGGAGGAGGCCTGGAAGGGCTGGCAGCAGGGCAGATTTGGGGTGGGGAAGGACAGGAGCCACTGCCCCTGGGAGGGGCCAACAGCCAGCCCTGGGACTTGACTGATGGAGTTTGGTGTTCCTGGAGGGGAGCGGGGGAGGGAATTGTGTGTGTTGGGGTGTCCCGAGGATCCTAGGCTGCTCTGTGTGGGAGCGTGGGGTGGGCAGGAGGCTGGGCTGAGGGGTTTCAGAGGAAGGTTCATGGGGGCACCTGAGAGCGGGAGCTCATCACCATGCCCATCCCGATGGCGGCACAGGGTGTCGTCCCCTCCCTGGTGACGTTCTTCCGTTCCCTGGAGCTGCTGGACGCTACGATGGAGGATTATGTGGAGGTGAGTGAGCCTGGAGGTGGGTCCGGGGGCTCAGGCTCCTGAGGGCGGGGAGGAGAGAGTCCTGTCCTGAGCCCTGAGCTCTCTGCATTTGGCAAAGGTCCTCTCAGCAGGGCCTCCAGTCTCGTGTGGGAGTTGGGGTGTCAGGCCCATCTCCCCAGTGGGTGATGCAGGCTCTGCATAAGCCACCGTCCAGGTTCCCTGGGCTGCTGAGGCTCAGAGCTGCCTGACTGTGTGACCACAGGATGTGGTGTCTGAGCTGGACTCAGCGTCTCCCTCTGGCCCCGCCAGTGAAGGAAGGGAAGTCGGGCCCCTCCCAGTCAGGAAGCACATCAGCAGCTGAGCTGTCCCTTCCTGCCTGAGGCCTCAGTCTCCCCACGTGTCATCAGAGAGGGTTGGGTTACAAGGTCTCTTGCCTCAGTTGCTCTGTGCCCCCTGCTCTGGAGCCCAGAGACTGGCCCAGGTCCAAGTCCGGGCTCTGGATGGGCCTGCCCACTGGCAGTAGTGCAGCATTGCAAGAGGTGTGGACGGGGGCTAGTGCTGACCCAAGGGGGCTGTTTCTGATGGACTGCGGCTGTCTGCCTTCCAGGGCAATGTGCTCAACTGTCGGAAATGGAATGAGGTAAGCGGCTGCGGCCTCCTGGTGGGGAGGGTGGGGGTGTGGAAATCAGAGACCCCGCCCCCCGCAGTGGGCAGGACCCCCTCTGGCCCAATCCCCAGGGTGGAACACTTATTTGCAAAGTTCGATATACAGAGCTAGGGATCCTATGGCATTGGCGGGTGGGGGAAGGGCTGGCATCAAAGACTCCTTCCTGGAGGAGGAGCTATTTGGGGCCAAGTGTGAGAGCAGGCAAGCCCTGACTGGAATCGCAGGGAGGGAGGGTTCCCAAGTGGGCAAAGGCCCCAGACTGGCCCCTTGCCCCCTTCCTCAGCCCCTCCACGAGCCCTGCAGGGTCCCCCACTCAGGCCCTGTGGGCATCCTGTGCTTGCTCTCTCCTAGCAATTCAAACTGACGGAGGAGATCGAGCTGCTCCAGGAGGCTGCAAATCTGTACACCGTGCAGCCCGACGAGCACTTTGGGGCCTGGTTCCAGGCCGTGGAGCCCCTGAGCAAGGAGGCGAGGTGAGTCGGGTCAGGAGTTGGGGGAGGGCAGGGCAGCCTCTCTCTGCTGACCAGCTCCAGAGCCCATGGCCGTTTCTCCATGGTCATCCCCTGATCTGATTGCATGGCGACCCCTGGGGCACTTCGACTCCAGCTGCTGGCAGGCTCCAGGACGCACATGTGATGTGTGGCTCCTGAGAGCTCCCAGCTCTGCTCTGTCCTGTAGCTACAGCCTGTCCTGCCAGCTGGAGCCCCGATACCACTGGGTCAGAAAAATTCGACTCTTCTTCAAACACAAGAAGAACCGCTCAGGGCAGAGTGAGTGTCCAGACCGGCAGTGGCTGAATCCACGGGCTCAGGAAACATTCAGGCTGAGCGTGGGCCTGGGGAGGCAGACAGCTGGCCCAGGGCTCCAGCTCCACTGCTGAGCAGTCCCGTCCTGGGCGGTTGCACTCACGTTCCTGGGACTGGTTTCCTCCTCTGTGAAATGGGTGACGCTAAATATCAGCCCCTGTGTCAGGGACAGATGGGGTGCTCTTGGCTGACTGAGCACTGAGCACAGGCTGGAGCACAGAGCGCAGTGGGGGCCGGGATGGGGTGTGCACTGTGGTTCCAGGGCAGGCTGCTCAGGAAATGCCTCTCTTTCTCCAGACACCAGACCCTCAACCAAGGGCCCAGTGTTGGTGGTCGATGACCCTCCTGAGTCCAGCTGAGCTACAGCGGGGACACAGCGTTGACACTCAAGGTGCACAGGGCCACCTCCCCTGATTCTGATGAGGAGAACTTTGTGATCCATTTCTTGGGGTGCCCTGTTGGCCACGAGGGAAGGCACCAATCCCTCTTCTCCCTCCCCCCTCTTGCCCAGCACCGATTTCCCTATTTGGCGGGGCCATATTTTGTTGTCAATGGTAATTGCTCCGTTTGAGTATTATATTAAATTGTTGCTTCTTTCTAATCCTGGGAGTGGAGGTGTGAGTCTTTTGCTCGCAGCGCTCATGGAAACCAGATCCAGAAACTCACATTCCTCCTCGAATTTAGAAATCTCCCAGAGTGAGCGGCTCAGTTTATGTGGAGAAGGGAGAAGGGCCAGTCCCTTCCCTGGCTACTGAAGTTCATGCCCAAGTCCCCCTCCCGCCGAGGACAGGATCATTGCAGTGTGGTTCACCCTGTCCAGGAGCAGAGATGGCCCCTCCGACCTCTTGGGACTAAGCGGTTGGAGGCGTTTTCTCAGCCAGAGCCACAACCACTAAGCTGGGCGTGTCTGTCAAACTAGCACGTGCCTGTCCCTAGCACACGTCCTGCCCAGGACAGTGGCTGCCTTTCGACACTCTGCCGGAAGAGGGAACATTTCCCCGGTTTCTCTTGCACACAGATTAGGACCTTGTTTTCTCATTCAGTCTCCGCAATGGCTTCAGCTCTAAGTGGGGGAAAATACCGTCAAAAGCTCAAAACGTGCACATAGAGAGGACGAGGCCAGAGGAAGGTCGTGTGGACATGGACCATGGGCAGGCAGGACTCTTCCTTCTCGGGCCCACTAGGGGCTCCCTGTTCACCTCTGACCTAGACTGGATCCCCCTGGGCTTCTGGTCCCTGACTCCGAATACCATTTCCTGCTTGTTGTCTATCCAAGGGGAAAGCTGTGGGATGCAGCTTTTAGGGCCTCAGCCAGGTCTCCCTCCAGAAACCTAGTGCTCCCAACAATCTGTTCCAGAAAATATCACCAGAGACAACACTTTCCAACTTATCTTATGAGGCCAGCAGTACCCTAAAAGCAAAACTAGAGTTTAAAAGTAGGGAAAACTTGAGAACAGCAAGTCTCAGAAATGAGCAGTTACCGTCTTCTACAAATATTAGAAAACTGAAGCCAACAATGTAAAACAATCATACACCAGGACAAAGAGGAAATTTATTCAGGTATGCAAGGTTGTATCAGCATTCCAAAATCAAATCAATGTGATCCACCCTGTCTCAGGCTAAAGGAGAAATTTACACATATCTGTTAGTTGGTATGGGGGAGAAGTCATCAGATAGTACACATTAGATATGTCAGGTTCTTTCTCTATCAATCGCATCTCATTAAAGCTCTTACAAAAATGAACACAGATATAGAATTTACACTTTCACAAACTTTTAGAAAATGGAACAGAGACCTAAATGTAATGCAAAACAATACAACTTCTCAAAAGATTATGCAACAAACTCTAAGTGGACTCGAATCTGGAATTATGTTATTAAGATACAAACTGAAAATGTAATCTATGAAAAAAAACTGATGTTAGACTTTATTTATTATTTTGGTAAGGAAGGTTGACCCTGAGCTAACATCTGTGCCGATTTTCCTCTATTTGGCCTGTGGGATGCTGTCACGGCATGGCTTGACAAGCTGTGTGTAGGTCTACACCCAGGATCCGAACCTGTGAACCCCAGGCTGCCGAAGTGGAGTGCGTGAACTTCACCACTGTGCCAGCGGGCTGGCCCCAGGTTAGACTTTATTAAATTAAAAACTCCTGCTTGTGGAAGGCAAAATCGATGAGTCAAAGGACAAATTACAGACTGGCAGACGATATTCGCAAAACAGATATATGATAAAGAAAATATGTCCAAGATATATGTAAAGAATTCTTAAAAGTCAACCACAACAAAAAAATAAACAACCTTATTGAAAAATGGGCAAAAGACCTGAATATATCCCTCACCAAAGAAGACATACAGATGGCACACGAGCCTGAGGACAGACGACCACTGCCACAGGTCATTCGGGAATTTCAAATAAAACCTCAATGAGACACTTCTACACACCTATTAGAACTGATAAATGCAGGAAACTGACAATACCAACTGCACGTGAGGATGTGGGGCAAAACAAACTCTCATTCATTGCGATCTGGAAAGCAAAATGGTACAGCCATATCAGAAGACAGTTTGGCAGTTTCTTACAAAGATGAGCATAGTCTTACCACACAATCCAGCAACTGCATTCTTAGGTATTTACCCAAGTAATTTGGAAATAGGTTTACAAAACACCTGTGGGCTAATATAGATAGTAGCTTTATTTATACTTTCTAAGCACTGGAAACGACCAAGATGTTCTTCAATAGGTGAGTGGAGAAAGAACCGGGGTACGGCTATAAAATGGATTATTATTATTTAGTGATAAAAGGAAACAAAGCATTAAGTCACAAAAAGACATGAATGAATTTTAACGCTTATTTCTAAGTGAAAGAAGCGATCTGAAGAGTCTATTGTAGAACACCAATTTTATGTCATTCTAGGAATGGCAAATGTATAGAGACAATAAAATGTCAGTAGTAGCACGGTCTTCATGGAAGAGGAAGGAGAGTCGAATGGATAAAGCACAAGGGATTTTTTAGTGCAGTGAAACTCTTCTGCATAATACTGTAAATATGGACAAAACCTTAGATAGTTATCAAAACTTTGAATTTTACAGCACAGAGAGTGAAACAATGTGTGCAAGCAAAAAGCCACGTAGGTGTCCAAGAAAATCCCAGAAGTGAATGAAAACTGTGGAAAAAATCTAACTGTATTACAAATGTATGAAACAGTCTGAATGAAGGGAGTGGGTGAAAAGGTGCAGAAATATGTAATTTGGGAAGTGAGTCGAGTCTGTAAAACTGAAGATGAAAGAAACTGTGCAGACACATTGTATTGTAGCTGATAAAGTTGTGACCCAGGGGGTATTGTTAACAATGCTGATACTTCTATCCATGTGGACTGAAAATGAGCAGATAAGTAAATGGATAGTGAACAGTGGGCACAAGGTTATTATTTGGAGTAGGAGTTTACAGATAAGCAAGGAGAAGAGGCTAGAGTGATCCACGTGGTGATAGAGTTGGAGACATCAGTGTGAACTTACTTTAGCTGAACATAGACACAGAAAGCTATGTATAGATATATTTATAGGTGTTTGAATACACACAGGCTACTACACACAGATATATTTCCCTGCTATGTCCGCTGAAAGAACCTAATGCCCTGACAGCTGCAAACACACCTGGTACCCAGGTCTTAATTCTAATACCACAGTCCAACAAAAGGAAACAGGGTTCCTTATAGAAATAACCAATTCTAGGATTCGGGAAGGAAATGTAAGAAAATGAGACTAAAGTGTCATTCAACATAAGAAAGTCATGAAATGCTACTCAAAAAAGCCAAGAATGCTGGGGGGACGCCAAAGGGACACATCGGCTAACTGAAGGAGCTCTCAATCGCCAAAGCTGGAACAACCTGAGCAACAAAATAAATAAAGTTGTTGGATTATAACCCGGAGAATGTATGAATATCAATGACTGTACCAATGTAAATAACTGAATAATAAGGAAATGAAAAGACACAAATCTCCTGTGCGGGAGAATACCAATGATTCACTCGGACATTCTGCTCTAAAGGAGGTCGAGGCTAACTCTCCACTTCTTAGGCACGGGCTGCACAGACAAAAGTCCCTACAAAGGGCACGGTGTGGACAGAGGGGACAGAGTGACTGCGCAGGGGAGACATCTGACAAACGCTGCCTCAGCCAGGTGACCAACATCAACATCAATGGGGGGAAGTCACAGGGAGAGCATGGACCCTTGAAATGATGAGATGAAAATGACAATTTACCTCTCTGATCTTCTTGCCCCAAATCCATAATCCCAATCTAATCATGAGAATAAAACAGACAAATTCTGTTGGAGAACATTTTACGAAACACCTGACCATTACTCCCCTAAAACTACCAAGTTCTTCAAAAACAAGGAAAGCCCGAGAACCTGTCACAGCCGGGGGAGGCTAGGCAGAAAGGACTAAATGTAGTGTAGGATAGCAGACAGGATGTGTTCATAAGAGCAGAAACTGCGAACGGAGCTGAGGGAAACTCTCTGTACTATCACAGCAAGTTTTTGTAACTGTACAACTGTTCAAAAAATAAAGTGAATTAAAAATCAGAGTACTAGCGAAATGCAAAATACCTGGAAACCATGAGTTCTGAACATGTCTCCAGACTCCATTATGTGCCCTGCACAAGCACTGTCACTACAGTCACATTCTTCATGAAATAGGATAATGATACCAAATTCATAGTTTCTGGGAGATTTAAATAATGAATATAACATTTCTGGCATTGTTTCTAGTAAAAATTCACTACTTAATGGAAAAATTAATCGGAATTTTGGGATACATTATTTTACACCCCTCAGAGACCCGCTCCTCTCCTTCCACTCCCAGGGTTCCCGTGCTGTTTCCATCCCTCAGTCTCTCTCACACTTTGAAAGCAGCAACAGTCTGTTCCTCACATTGACCTGGGTAACTTTTCCACAGAGCAGACCTGATCACAGCTGTCCCCTCGCAGAAAACCTGCACTTACCGTCCACTAATTTCAGAATCAAACCACAATCCTGTGGCCAAAATATAAGGCTCTTGGGGCTGGCCCCGTGGCTGAGTGGTTAAGTTCGTGCGCTCCGCTGCAGGCGTCCCAGTGTTTCGTTGGTTCGAATCCTGGGCGCAGACATGGCACTGCTCATCAAACCACGCTGAGGCAGCGTCCCACATGCCACAACTAGAAGGACCCACAACGAAGAATAGACACCTATGTACTGGGGGGCTTTGGGGAGAAAAAGGAAAAAATAAAATCTTTAAAAAAAATTTATAAAAAAAAATATATATATATATAAGTTTCTTTCTTAACCTGACTGTGTTCTCTCTGACCAGGCTCATTTCCCACCCTCTGCTATGCAGGATTGGTCAGATAGGAATAATCTGCATCACAATTACAATGTCGTATTGCAATTTTATACACATACCTTCCAGTCTAATTACCCCCTAAATGTCCTCCTCTCCCGGCTCATCCTGGAGAGAGTGCTCCCACCTCTCGATTACCTGGGAGAATTCCAACACCTTGTTCAAGGCTGAGCGCAGTCACAAGCTTGTCTGTGAAGCTTTCACTAGACTCTCACTGAA